ACCTGTCTCGACTTTTATATTTTACATGCAAAAAAAAAAAAAAATTTACTTTGTGCTTGTATGTACTAAAATGATTTTATTCAATGTTGTAATAATAATAATAATTATTATTATTATCATTAAATAAATTATATTTTTTCCTTTTACTTTTAAAACATGTGGATCTAATTAACATTACTTGTAAAATGCAGAACAATGTTGTGTAGTAAGCTCCAAATTCCTGTATGCATGTATACTTTCATATTTTTAGATAACATCACAAGTTAAAGTGAACCTGCCTTTACCATGAATGTGTCTGGGTTTGGCGGTTGCCAGGAGAACGGTACTTGCCTGTCTGCATTGTAACAAGTGTAAAGTTTAGTGGAGGGGGATTATGGTGCGGGGTTGTTTTTCACGGGTTGGGCTTGGCCCCTTAGTTCCAGTGAAGGGAACTCTTAAGGCATCAGCATACCAAGACATTTTGGACAATTTCATGCTCCCAACTTTGTGGGAACAGTTTGGGGATGGCCCCTTCCTGTTCCAACATGACTACGCACCAGTGTACAAAGCAAGGTCCATAAAGACATGGATGGGGGAGTTTGGGGTGGAGGAACTTGACTGGCCTGCACAGAGTCCTGACCTCAACCCGATAGAACACCTTTGGGATGAATTAGAGCGGAGACTGCGAGCCCGGCCTTCTCATCCAACATCCTATGACCTAATTTTGTGAACTGCCGTAGCAACAAGTATATCTCACGTGGGTTGAATAAAAGATTTTTCTAGAAGTTGTGTTGTACTGGAAAAAATGCGAGGCTCCAAGCATCCCAGGGCTGCTTTTCAACAGTATAGAACACATGACCACCAAAAGTCAAACTACAGCAATCTTTTCCTGTTTCTTATCAGTCTATCAGAGGAAAGCTTTTCAGGTGGATACTGGGGAAGGTACCCAAATGACACTTGTTGACCAGCCTTGGTTGTGGGAGGTTCTACATCAGGGGTCCTCAAACTACGGCCCGCAGGGGTCCTTGGCCCGGCCCGTTTGGGTGTTAAGGCCGGGGAGCTAACCCTGGTCTACATCATGGAAATCCTCTGGGAAGTTTATAGTGAAGACCAACAACTGCTTGTACCACTGTGAACACAGACAACATGATCAAGGACAAATAGCTATACTTACACTGAGTCCATAAGTTTCTTTGTTAAGGAAAATATGTTGATCCTCTTCGATCTCTCTCCCCGGTCCGTGCTCTTCTTCCCGGTTTTGGCATACATGGTCTCAGGCAGAAGTGCATGTGCAGGAATCTCTTCCTTCCCCACAATGAATCTGGTCATAAACATATAAATAATATCAGCTGCAGAATGAGCTCCCCCCCTTCCATCCCATATCGGCCCGCATTATAATCACAGGAAGGGGTCGGGGCCCACAGTGAAAATCTTGTTCAACCAAGACCTGTTATTCTGGGTGTACTGAAGGTGAATGTACCGCCTACCAAAGCCAAATGAAAGTAGCCTATCCTAGCTTCAAATACCCAAGGCACAGGATGATACGAAGAACTTTTATCTAGGTACATTTAATAAAATAATAAAAGTGATTGCCACACTGTAAACTATACTAAGTTGTGTTCTACAAAGCTGTACTTGCTTATTTCTGAACATTTATTTTGTCCTACTTTCATCTGACATTCCCCTTTCTATTGGCCTGCTTTAGAAATCAGCTTTTATGTTTAACTCGTTAACACAACATTAAAGGAGAACTATGAGGTGAGTGCTTTTCACTTACCTCATAGTTCTAGCCGACCTGTGACAATGAGACTGTCACAGGTCGGCTCAGTAGATCGGGAAGTGAGTGAACATAGACTGGCGTTCGCTCACCTCTCAATCCTGTCACGGCTCTCTGCCGTGACAGGGGAGGGGCTGGATTCCCCCGCCCCGATCCGCCAGTGCTGACTGGCGGTACGGACGGGGGAGGGGGCGGGTACAGCTGGCTCTGTCTCTAGATAGGCAGAGCCAGCTGTCAGTCAGGCAGCTCGGCTGATCTCGACATCGATGTCGGGATCTGCTCCGGCTGCGGCGTCTCAGTATACTGAGCTTAGGGTAACGGGAGGATGCTAGTTTGTGTCCTCCCGTTACCCTAAGGAGAACTATGGGGAAAAACACTGACCCCATAGTTCTCCTTTAAATTGCTTTTTTTCTGCAGTCCCCTGTGTTAAATGTAACCTCTTGTAGTCCCTGTGCAGCAGAGTTCAGATTAGGAGAAGCAGCCAAGGTGCTGGTGCAGCTGCAGAACTAACAAATAAATGCTAACAGGAGGAGACAGCAGAGTGACAAGTAAAGGAGCTTATCAGTCTGCTGCTTTTCCTCTCACTGTCCAGTCACAACTTTGTTCAGATGTTCTGAAGTTGTCTCTCTTGTGTCCCTCAGCGATTCTGTAAACTTCCAGTCGGGGAGCACGCCCTGGCCTAGGCACAGCTGAGCTCAAAATCTTTGGGGCTACATGTCCCACGACACTATGTGCAGTGCCCGCACTGCGCATGCTTCAGCCCGAACAAAGCACTAGGGCCATAGTGCACTCAGAAGCTGTGTTCACCAACGCATGCGTAGTACAGGCCCGCTCTGGTGCTTTGTTTAGCAGCTGTGGTTACTGTGCATGCTTTGCCATAAGGGGCACAAAAGCGCAGTACAGGCAGCAGCCTGTACTGTGCATGCGTTAGCTAAACACAACTAGTGGCCCCTACTTCACAAGCATTGGCCAAACACAGCCAAACATTGGCCAAGTCAAAGGAGTCACCCTGTGGGCAGTAGCTTTCAGAGGCCAGATTTTGCTGCAAAGACTCAAAAAAAAAAATGCACTGAACTGAAGGTGATGTAAGGTATGTAGCTACAATTAGGGATGCATAGAAATTTCAGCCAAAAATGGTACAATGAGCAAAATGTCGATAGTACAAAAACAGCCGGGAATGTGGTGCATCCCCAGCATCTCTCCTCCTCGCTGGACGCGGGCTGCAAACTTTGGTCTGTGTTCCCTCCGATCCCCGCTGCTCTCCCCCACCCGTGGTGGCAGAGGCAGTGGGGATCAGAGGGGACACAAACCCGATACAGCTCCCAGCAAAGAGGAGATAAGTTGTTAAGAGACCGCGCGGGACAGAAAGCTCCAGCGGGAGGTGGTGGAGCTTCAGGATTGATTAATATGGTAAATATTTACTGATGCTTTGCTGTACTGAGCAAATATCGAGTGATCAGTACTGATCACTCTTTGTAAATAACTGAGGGCATAATGATTACTATATCCCCGGTTATGAATGAACAGGAAGTGTTATGCATCACTTCCTCTTCATTTATAACTGGGGACATAGTAAATATTTACTATCTGCTCACATTATGAATGAACAAAAAGCTGCTCAGTACAGAGGCTTCCTGTCCATTCATGACTGGGATGATAGTAAATATTTACTATCTCCAGATTGTGAATAAACAGGAAGCCTTTGTACTGAGAGCTTCCTGTTCATTCAGGGCTGGGGCTGTAGAAAGAGAGATTGAGGACTCTGTGTCCTCAATCTCTTTTTCTCTGTTAAAAGGGAAATCAGGGGTCTATTTAGACCCCTGATATTTCTCCACAGCCCCTAACAGTAAAGTTATGGGGAAAAAACTACATTGAAATAAAAATAAGATAATTAAAATTTAATTATCCTTTATAGGCGGAAGCATGGGAATTAGCAACTTCCTGTGTTGAGTGAGGAGACAGCAAATTGCATCAGCAGGACCAAGAACAGGATAGTGCTGACTGTATGCAGCTGAGACTACTACAGGACATTTCAGCAGCCCTCCGCATGTGATATATGTTTAATTACATGTATCTAAGCTGGTCCAATGTAAGGTTAAAAAATAGATCATTCCTGGAGTTTAGCTTTAACACTGAACTTCAATTGTTTGCACACTGAAAAGCATTTTATTATCTGTTCAATAAGTGCAAAAATGCCACCTGCTGCATTCTACATACTGTATAACACAATGAAAATATCCAGCGGAGAGAGAATATGGACAAGCAAAGACATCTGATGATGAACCAAGTCTTCAAAGGCCTGCAAGTCGTTGCTGTGAGTTCATAGGTTGAGTGCTACATATTATTCACCCCATAACTAAACAGTTATAACCCTCTGAGCTGCGTGTTAGCATTCTACTTACTTGAGAGCTGAGAAGGCAAATCCCTGGAGGCCGTCTTTACATCTGCAATGACAAAAAGGGGATTTATCATTTGCGTAGTCCGTCAACACGTTTCACTGTCACTTAGTTGATGCATCAATACAGATCTGTGCATCGGGTCTAAAACCGAATAGAGAGACAAAAGGGCTTTGGTATGTAGACTGATCCTTCTAAAGTTGTGTTTGCTGGAGTTTTTGTGGGCTGAACCAACATACAACAGTGTGGAATGCCAAACTACACAGCACTAGTGTGGTCCACAAACAGCCTTTGATATACAGACAATGGGTGCAGCAGAAAAATGGAACTTTAAAGGGTAGTTCCACTTTCCCAGGTGAATTTGGGAAAATGTAATTACCCCCTCCAATCTGCCAACCCCCCCACCCCCTCCAAGCTATACTTACCTTTGGGAGAATGCTCCTTCCCCTCAGCCGGTGTGCTGGTTTACCATTCACACCCTGTACATGGCACTGAGCATTGCATTGTGCATTTTAAAGTTTAATTGTGACAGTAGTATACTTTTAAAGACTGAGGTATATAAAGTACCTCTGAGCTTGTAGTTAATTCTTAAAGGAAGAGTGCAGTTCAGGTTTCATCCTTTTAGAGTGGACTATGCAGTGCAATGCAATGTCTGCCTATGCTGCCTGGGATCCCTTTCTCCCTGTAAAAATCTCCTGCTTTTTAGTTAGATTTGTCCTTACCTTACCCCCATCTTCTGCATGGCTGGTTGCAATGTCTGTGAAGATTCCTGGGGAATGCAGAGCAGGTCCAATCTCCCAAGTATTCAATTCTGTTGCATGAGTGTCCTCTCACTGAGCTGGTCTGTATTCCCCAGGATCTCACCAGGACTCAAGGATTTGAGTGTGACTCGCCCAAAGCGTCATGGGCAGAAAACAATCACACATTTAATTTTCCAATTTGTATGGAGATTGTAGTCCATCACAGGAGTGAGCTTGGAGAGGTGGCTACTAGCTAAGCAATAGTCACCGGTATTGCCCATGGTTTTCCGACAGTGCCATTGTCTGGCCTCCATCTTGATAGACGCAGCATTACTTCATGGCAGAGCTGCCCCCTGATGACCGGTGATATGTTTTCGAACATATCCAAATCTCAATACAAATTAATAAATTAAACATGAGATTGTAGTCTATCACAGGAGCGAGCTTGGAGTGTTGACTACTGTACAAGGGACCATGGGACAAGGGACTACTGTACACACAGGGACCATGGGGAACAAAAGTAGCCCCCCTCCAGAAGGAAGGACAGTGTCGGCACCAATTCAGAGATGATTTGAGGATCTACAGCCGAGTGATACACAAATAAGATACATTGTTGTTAATAGTTGAGGTACTTGAATGCATTTTTAAGATATAACTCCGGAGTTTAGTGTCACTTTAATGCATTCTGCAGTCATTTATTGCACCACTAGATGTCACTATAGTCCATGTCTGAGTAGCTCCTGACACCCCAGTAGCATTTGTACATGGACATGTGTATATAGAACATTGATTTTACAAGAAACCAGATCTAGAGAACAGTAAAATGTGAACACCGTTTTATGCTTTGCTCGTGCCTGTCTGGATCAGGGTCACACTGGGTCTGTACACAGTCACACAGAGCTCAGGTTTCTACCCAACTCACAAGTGTTGTTAACACTATTGCTGGACTATTTTTACAATATCGGGTTTCTGGTCACTTTGAGCGACTGACCCTGAAAATATGCGTAGATAGGCGCCTCGTCTCCGTGCCATTCCCATTGCTGCATTGATTTCGGCAGAATCGAAGCCGATCTCTCTGCAATCACTGCAGGAAATGAGTCGCAGATAGGAAAGTCATCTGAGAAGTTCTGTGCTTGGATTCACTTCACTAGACTAAAGCTGGCAATAAACTTTCAAGTGGATTATGGGAAAAATGACAAAGAAACGCGAGATTTAGGTGCTCCTTACGCTCTAGTTCTACTGTAGCAGTGGTGGCTACCCAACTCCATTGCAAGGGTTAAGTGCACGTTTTGACTAGAGGACTCATATAAAGCTACATTTTCCATGTGATCCTCGGTCCCCCAGCGGGCGGCACTCTCCTCTCCTCTCCTCCCCCCTCCACTCTAGTTATGGAATATCCTTTGGAAGTCAATGGACCTGGATAAGACGCAATGAGGTCAGTGGTCATTAGACCACCCGTGCCCAGAGGAGAAGAGGCTGCACGGACCAGTCTAGCAGCCCGGGGGAAGATAGGATCAGGCGAGTAAATCTGCTTTAGTCCAGCCCCTAGACCACAACGAGCACTTAACCCTTGCAGTAGGGATGCACCGAAACTAGAATCGGTGCCGATGCCGAGTATTTGGGCGAGTACTCATACTCGCCCAAATGCTCCGATGCCTAGCCCAATACTTCCGGGAACAGGAAGCCGGGCAGCACGTCATTACACGCTGCCCGGCTTCCTGATTTGCCGGGAAGCCGGCTCCATGCTCTCTCGTCACTTGTGACAAGAGAGCATGGAGCCGGCTTCCTGATTGGTCGTAAGCTGGCCAATCAGGAAGCCAGGTGCAGTGTAATGATGCAGCGCCCAGCTTTCTGATTGGTCGGGAAGCCGGCTTCATGTTGCCTCGTCACCCTAGAGCATGGAGCCGGCTTCCCAACCAATCAGGAAGCCGGGTGCCGCGTCATCACACAGCACCTGGCTTCCTGACTGACCAGAAAGCCGGCTCCATGCTCCCTCGTCACATAGTGACGAGAAGCATGGGGACGGCTTCCCTGCTAATCGGGAAGCCGGGTGGCAAGTCTTTGCACGCTGCCTGGCTTCCTGAATGGGACTTCTGGTACTCGGTATTCGGCATTGGCGAGTACAGAAAAAAAAAATATTGGTACTCGATACCGAAATACCGGTAGGGATACCTTGCAATGTGGAAATAGCCCCCACTGCAAGGGTCATTTTTTTTATTTGCCTTTATTTCTTTAAATTCACTCACAGTTCTTCCAGATGGGACAATGGATGCCTTTCTATCCCAAATGCTCAACTGAATATCCATTGCCCACCACCCGGGGAAAATCAATTTAGATCCTCTCTAGTCTTATTGCTTCAACAGTCCTGCCAAAGCTCCTCGAATAAAGAAAGTCCCAGCTTGTTCTAGGGTACAGTGTGGTCAGCCTCAGGTTAGGGGAGTCTAAAATGGACATGTAGTTTTAGATGAACAATAAAGCACATTAAACCAAAAAAACTAAAATAATACATTGGGTATTAACTAGATGAGCAGCGCTACAAATCAAAACAGATCTACACCAATCCCAATCATGGGAGTGAAGTGTTAAACAATGTTATTCAAAAGCTGCTGTGATATAGACCCCCTAGGGTCTAATGGATGAATATTAAATAAACAGCGCTACTTAAAGTGAATGCTATAAATCAAACAATGGATAATATATATAACCACCAATTAACTGACATAAAGCAAAGTGCTGAACAAATCAAATCAATCATAAGTGAAAAAAGCCATTTATCGTGAACAAAGTGTTATTCAACCTATCCTATGTGATTGAAATAAGTGAATATTAATTAGGTGTTTTTATAAAAGACTATAAGTGATGTGTCTTTATGATGAAAACAAAAATGCAATTTCCGTGAGTTATTGTGAAAAAAATTCCAATAAAAGAAGTTTGTGAAAACAACAAAAAGTCTCTGTGGTGTTTCAATCTGTTCCAAGTGAAGAAGAAATATAACTAAATATTCCAACTGTTCCGTGATATACACACAATCCTTATTCTGGGGAATGTATTTAGATCAATACATATCCCCTAAAAGTGACTACTCACCACACTCCATGCTCTCTCGTCACTTGTGACAAGAGAGCATGGAGCCGGCTTCCTGATTGGTCGTAAGCTGGCCAATCAGGAAGCCAGGTGCAGTGTAATGATGCAGCGCCCAGCTTTCTGATTGGTCGGGAAGCCGGCTTCATGTTGCCTCGTCACCCTCATGACGAGGGAGCATGGAGCCGGCTTCCCAACCAATCAGGAAGCCGGGTGCCGCGTCATCACACAGCACCTGGCTTCCTGACTGACCAGAAAGCCGGCTCCATGCTCCCTCGTCACATAGTGACGAGAAGCATGGGGACGGCTTCCCTGCTAATCGGGAAGCCGGGTGGCAAGTCTTTGCACGCTGCCTGGCTTCCTGAATGGGACTTCTGGTACTCGGTATTCGGCATTGGCGAGTACAGAAAAAAAAAATATTGGTACTCGATACCGAAATACCGGTAGGGATACCTTGCAATGTGGAAATAGCCCCCACTGCAAGGGTCATTTTTTTTATTTGCCTTTATTTCTTTAAATTCACTCACAGTTCTTCCAGATGGGACAATGGATGCCTTTCTATCCCAAATGCTCAACTGAATATCCATTGCCCACCACCCGGGGAAAATCAATTTAGATCCTCTCTAGTCTTATTGCTTCAACAGTCCTGCCAAAGCTCCTCGAATAAAGAAAGTCCCAGCTTGTTCTAGGGTACAGTGTGGTCAGCCTCAGGTTAGGGGAGTCTAAAATGGACATGTAGTTTTAGATGAACAATAAAGCACATTAAACCAAAAAAACTAAAATAATACATTGGGTATTAACTAGATGAGCAGCGCTACAAATCAAAACAGATCTACACCAATCCCAATCATGGGAGTGAAGTGTTAAACAATGTTATTCAAAAGCTGCTGTGATATAGACCCCCTAGGGTCTAATGGATGAATATTAAATAAACAGCGCTACTTAAAGTGAATGCTATAAATCAAACAATGGATAATATATATAACCACCAATTAACTGACATAAAGCAAAGTGCTGAACAAATCAAATCAATCATAAGTGAAAAAAGCCATTTATCGTGAACAAAGTGTTATTCAACCTATCCTATGTGATTGAAATAAGTGAATATTAATTAGGTGTTTTTATAAAAGACTATAAGTGATGTGTCTTTATGATGAAAACAAAAATGCAATTTCCGTGAGTTATTGTGAAAAAAATTCCAATAAAAGAAGTTTGTGAAAACAACAA